TTTCGTTTGCAAATTGATCAATCACTTTCTTCAGATCAAGTTGACAAGCGATTGTTTTTTCAATTGATATAGTGAGGGGCGGATCTAGGTTTTTCGGGGCATAGTGCTTATTGAAGTCCAACGGGAACCCATTTTTTGTTAATACAAATAATACTATAAATTATCATTATTATTAATATTAACTATTTTTTACTATACGATAAATGCTCATTGTTTATGAAAAAGTATTAAAAATTTATGATAATCAATTTTTGTGGGACCTTGAGACTTGGAGGCCCAGGACTTAAGCCCTATTAGTTTTTATGTAGATCCGTCCCTGGATATAGTAACCAGAGTTAAGACGGTGTTGTGATGGTGTGCTGCTTCTTAAGTAAGCTTTGATTCATTTTAGTTTTGAAAAACTTCTTTGTCATCGCCCATAAAGTTTAAAAAATGAGGCTTGCTGCAATAATGTCAGAGAACCTATTTGAGGCTGCGGTGTGAAATAAAAGTAGTTCAGCAACTTCGCTTATAGAAGTAATTTCTTTTACCTGACTATAAAAACACATTTTAAATCAAAGCAGTTGAGGTCCAAAACTAGGCGAATATGCCGATTGTAACAATTATGATTGTTTCAGAATATTTTTATCAGATGACACAAGATATGCAGGCAAAAAGCACTTGAAAAGTGTACATAATTGTCAAATGGTTTCAAATCTAATAGTCAATTGATTAATTATTACATCCAAAAACTTTTTTACAAATGTTTTTACAAGTTTTTATTTTGCCCTTTATAACTTTGCGCCCTCATGTTTCGTGTGACTGGAGCAGTTTGCTCCAATTGCTTCACGGTAGCTACGCCTCTGATTCAAAGGGCTGCTGGCTCTGGAAACTTTCTTTGGTCCCATGATGGAGCTAAAAAGAAAAGAAAGCAATGGAATTGTTTGGCTAGATGCACAGGGTAATGCTCACACAATGAGAAACACCACACTGAGCAGGAAAATGCGTGGGTTGCTCTTTGTTTTTGCAAAATTAGTAGCGAGGCCACACGGGCACGCCGATAAAATCTGAGGCAAGCGACACTAATCAAATTTTCTGCAGAAAAAACCAACGAAAACTGACACTAATGAAAATTGAGGTATTACTGTATCTCATTAAAATATGCATATGTAGCTAGAACTATTTCTATGATTATCAGCACAAAACCTTTCTCACTAATTTCTAGCCGTATTAACAGGAGTACAAACGTTTTTGGCCTTCTTAATAGGCCTTCCTCGGGTACACTGTGGAGCGTCGGTTAGAAGAAGTTTAAATGATGCCAATGTTTACCCAGGTATCGTCTTACCAGTGACATCATCGTCGATGATAGGTATAGACGATACCGAGGGCAAAGAATACATACTTTTGGTAAAGAAGGGAGGTGTGCAGATAGGATACTTGCTATAGTTGGGGAAAAAAATTCTTAAAATAAGCGCGCTACGTATAGGAGATGCACACTCACTACAGGGGGTTAGTGGGGAGTGACGTCATAGTTGAGGCCATACATATTCAACGATACAGTAAGAAGAGGCGTGCGAATGACCGTGGATGGGAAGGGGGTTACGATTGGAAGGCAGAATGGGAAATAAACGCGACAAGTAAAAAAGAGCGCTAACAGTTGCACGCGGTGAGGGTGGGATGGTCTATTCATTTCAAGGGTTGTCGAAGAATGATTTCCAAGCGGAGGAGAGCGAGTCCGCATCTCTGCTGTTGATACAACCGTCTTTGAGGGATTGCTTAAATATTTCAATTGTCTCGACTGTTCTTAGCTTGGTGTGGTCGTGCATAGGAATAGTAATCCTCGCCTCCTCCCATTTGGTCATTATACCAGGTTCGCTTGCAAACTGGGCAAGGGTGGAAGTGAATTTTTTGTTGTATGCGTCGTACTTGTGCTCAGTTATCCTCTGTTTAAGTGATCTGTTGGTTGAGCCATTGGTTGATACATTGGCTCAACCAATAGATCACTTAAACGGAGGATAACTTGCCAATGTTTACCCAGGTATCGTCTTACCAGTGACATCATCGTCGATGATAGGTATAGACGATACCGAGGGCAAAGAATACATACTTTTGGTAAAGAAGGGAGGTGTGCAGATAGGATACTTGCTATAGTTGGGGAAAAAAATTCTTAAAATAAGCGCGCTACGTATAGAAGATGCACACTCACTACAGGGGGTTAGTGGGGAGTGACGTCATAGTTGAGGCCATACATATTCAACGATACAGTAAGAAGAGGCGTGCGAATGACCGTGGATGGGAAGGGGGTTACGATTGGAAGGCAGAATGGGAAATAAACGCGACAAGTAAAAAAGAGCACTAACAGTTGCACGCGGTGAGGGTGGGATGGTCTATTCATTTCAAGGGTTGTCGAAGAATGATTTCCAAGCGGAGGAGAGCGAGTCCGCATCTCTGCTGTTGATACAACCGTCTTTGAGGGATTGCTTAAATATTTCAATTGTCTCGACTGTTCTTAGCTTGGTGTGGTCGTGCATAGGAATAGTAATCCTCGCCTCCTCCCATTTGGTCATTATACCAGGTTCGCTTGCAAACTGGGCAAGGGTGGAAGTGAATTTTTTGTTGTATGCGTCGTACTTGTGCTCAGTTATCCTCTGTTTAAGTGATCTGTTGGTTGAGCCATTGGTTGATACATTGGCTCAACCAATAGATCACTTAAACGGAGGATAACTGTGCGAACGACCGTGGATGGGAAGGGGGTTACCCTTCCCATTCACGGTCGTTCGCACGCCTCTTCTTACTGTATCATTGAATATTTATGGCCTCGACTATGACGTCACTCCCCACTAACCCCCTGTAGTGAGTGTGCATCTCCTGTACGTAGCACACTTATTTTAAGAATTTTTTTCCCCAACTTTAGCAAGTATCCTATCTGCACACCTCCCTTCTTTACCAAAAGTATGTTATTTTTTCCCCCAACTTTAGCAAGTATCCTATCTGCACACCTCCCTTCTTTACCAAAAGTATGTATTCTTCGCCCTCGGTATCGTCTATACCTATCATCGACGATGACGTCACTGGTAAGACGACTGGGTAAACATTGGCAGCATTTAAACTTCTTCTAACCGACGCTCCACAGTGTACCCGAGGAAGGCCTATTAAGAAGGCCAAAAACATTTGTACTCCTGTTAATACGGCTAGAAATTAGTGAGAAAGGTTTTGTGCTGATAATCTCATTAAAACTTTAACTTACACAAAAAATGTTTTAAAATATACATGATTTGAGTCTTATCTGTCACATAATGGATGAGTTTGTGTTAATGACAATTTATAGTTATCATCAAAGTAGAATTTTATCATCAATTTCTTTTGATAACATGTTGAAAAAACTTTTTTAAAGCAAAAAATCTAGAACAATTTCTTCAATGTTATTTCAAAAATCAGTGATTAGACTGTTGGAAAAAGAAAATAAAAGTGGTTAATAGTTGTAATAGGGAAAAAAGACAATATGAAGGAAAATGTATTTCTTGGAAGCAGGGTCAGTTCCTAGACAACAATTTGATAGTCAAACAAAATAAATTAACTGCCCCAAATATTTTATTCTATCTGTAAGTGAAAGAAAGTCTTAAATAAGGATTGAAAAACTTCGATGAGCTTCTGGGACGAAGGAAGGAAACATTCACTAAGCTATCAAACAGAACAGTTGTCTTTTTTAAATCAAAAAACAGGAGAAAGCACCACAGAACAGACAACGCAAACTAGAGTGAGATAATTTATATCAATCTCCTCCCACATTGCATATTACCCAGATTGAGGCTGGCAGTAAGTAAGCACCATAGCACCTCTCGGTTGAAAAAATAAACACAGTATCTTCATACAAATATGTATGAAGATACTGTGTTTATTACATCTTCATACAAATATGTATGAAGATGTAATATTTTACAGTAAAAAAATATTAAATGATATTTCCATTAAAAAATAAATAAACAGAAATATGACTTTCATAGATTTATAATAAACATAAATAAACTGTAGGTAAGCTATATTCTTGCTGTGCTCTTCTGCTTTGATGTTTGAGGAACAGCATGAAATCGTGCAGAGACCCACTGAAAAACATCAATCTTAGTCCTCTTTCAACATAAACAAAACAGAGGAGAATGAGTGATACAAAGAAGAGGTAAAAGTAAGACCATTTGATACATAATAAGAAAGAAAACCAAAAGCAAATAAAGTTCTTCAGGTAATTATCTTGAAACCAATCAGATCTTATAAATTTAAATATGAAAGAGGAATGGATACTGAAGGTTTGTATTGAAGAAACTCTTCTTCAGTACAAATCTATATTCTGTTAAAACAAATATGAAAATGAGAATGAAATACTATTCACAAAATAGGAAATATCCAAAAACTATATGCATCACATCAACAATAAAACTAAACTGGAATATCACAAACAAATTTCTGAATTTTCTTTCACTACTTATGATTAATTTAACTAAAACTGTGCTCCTAAGAAGCAACTGTAACTGGTGCAAAATTCAGAGATTTATGTGTAAATTTGGCAATAATATTTCTAAATTATTTTTACTGGAATGCAAATGTCTAAAAGGATGCCAATTTTCAAGAATCAAAAATAGTATCGCCTACTTATTTGACTGCCAAATTTTTAAACAAAAAAGTTGTTAATTTGGTTTGCTAAGAAACTGGCAGTAGTTTAATCTCCACATCAGAATCATGTTTGCTACTAGAAAATAAAATTAAATAGTTGTTGGACAGTTTATATTGTTAAATACGAATAAATGATTCTTAAATATCAGACTGTTGGCTAGATTACTGAAGGTGAAATAGATGCTTAATCCCACTTCCCAATTTGCATTTCTCTAAAAGTTATTGGATTCTAAAGACACTTTTGTGTATACACAAGGATATAGACAAAAACATTGCAATGCTTTTGTCTATATTCTGTACATATATAGTGTAGAAATATGAAAATTACAACACTAACTACAAGAAGATTTTCTTACCGGATAATGATTTTCCAATCCTATCCTTCTTAACAACAATTTTTCCCAATATGGAAGGCCTGTAAGAGTTTTGAGCCTCTTTACCATGAATAGTTTCGAGGGTTCAAAAGACTTATCCTCAGCTTTTCTCCTTGCTTCTCTCACTTTATCAAATATTTCTTCATGAAATTTTTTCGGTCTCGTGCAATATGACGCACTGACATGTTTTGAGCTGCAATTTTTAATGAAAGCAGCAAGTAGTCCAACCTAGAAGTAAATTTTCTATTATATTACACATAAATTATTAATGTATTTGAAAAATTTTTAATTTAAATTTGAAATTTATTATTCAATAATTAAATTTAAACTTATTTTCATATAGTACTGGACGAAATATCCAGTTTCCAGAAAATCAGAATTATCAGGAACTGGCTAATTTGATGCATGGCTGCTGCTTTTTGGTTTTGTGGCATATGTGCCACACCAGTTTTGGGCATACAATGTATTAAAACAGTTTTGTTTTTTACTTTCTATTGTTTATTTTATATTTTAAATATATATTTAGTCTGTGTCCCCCAGAAAACCAGACCATTTCTGGTCCCAAGCTATTTAATCATGGACTGTATTTGAATAATTTGTATAATTCAGACGGGTCGATAATAATAATAATAAGCGCAGAGCCCAAACGGTTAGGAGTTGAAAGTTGAAATTTGGTACACAGTTAGGATACGTCATGAGAATGTACACTAAGAAGTGATTTTTGGAAATTCTCCCCACAGAGGGAGAGAAAGAAGGTTATGGATTACCATGAAGAACTTGGCTTCTATACTATTTTAGATGTGGTTTTTTTGTGTTTTTGTGGGAAATCAAACATATTTTTAGACTCATCTAAAAATTCTCTAATTAGTCTTGGAACAGAGAGATCTAATTCGTTTACCCAGTGAAAACAAGTAAGATCAGCTATAATCTAATAATCTTAATCTTCACTATTGTTACTTTTTACCCGAGCAATGCTGGGCTGATCTGCTAGTATATCAATATGGCAATTTAATTTAATATTCTGACTCAATCTACGATAAAACAATCAGCATTTCTTGTATTTTAAACATTTGTTTTCCTACCTATTCTGTAAATCTAAAGTTTTCATGCCTTACTCAATTCTTTACCAACATTCTTGGAATCTTTCCACTACAGTTCAACATTCTTGTCAAAAACAACTGTTAGTTTCATTATAATTTTGATGGATATGATATCTCATTTACATTCTTTCATCTTATACATTTACTTCCATGTTACATCAACAAAAATGTTGATTGGCTTAATTTATTTCTATGATTCTCTAAATATAGTAATGTGTTAGCCATTTATAGCCATCTGTTCTGCTCAGAAAATTTATCGTTCTTCTTATAAACGAAGACCCACATGTATGTAGTAACTAGAGGATAATTTAATTTAGATTGTATCTTCTTAATAAGTGTGTAATAAGACCAGGGGTGGCCAATAGTTTTTGCCCCTGGGCCAAATTGGAAAGAAAACTTTTTCCATGGGCCGAACCAGAGGATGCCCTAGGAAGATTTTGAGGTGGTGCGAGATCTCATTGTGGTGTCACCACATAGAGACTAAATTGTACTGCACATAGAGATTACAGATACATTTTTCACATTATCATGCTTTATCAACATTCTACGCTGTACTGATGAGATTTGTAATGGAGGGTTAACTCTAAATGCATAGTGAGTTGTTGATTTTTTTTTTTTTTAGTCTTCAGAATTTTTCATCGAGCTATTCAGACTTGAGTAGCTAATATTAAAAGATTAATCATGGGCCACATAAATTCATTAGACAGACCGTGTGTTGGCCATGTCTGGGTTAGACTGAGGTAGTGATTCTTAATCCTTTCACCACTGCCTGTACCTCTTGAATTTTTAAATACACTCGCATCCAGTACAAAAAATTCATTAAAACTTTTTATTCAAAGAAATAGTCATCCTCTGTTTGAGTCTCAAATTCACTTTAGTCTAACTTAAGCAATTAAGAAAGAAATTTCAGCTGCATTTATTCATCAATAAAAAAATACCATTGGTCTTGGTTATGGATTTAAAACAGAAAAAAATGCATTTTATTAAGATCTTATTAAAAAAGAAAGGATCCCATTCTCAATGAAAAAATGTGGGAAAATTATTATTTTATCAATTGTAATCTAATACACTAAGGACCTCATCATCAAGTCTAACTTTTGCTTATTCTCAGCTCTATTCTTGGATTCACACCAAGTTAGAAAGCACAACTGCAGAATAACAAATGATATTCTGACTCAAACTATCTTAAAGTTGAGAGGATTCAGCTAAGATTCAATCCAATAGAATATAACAAAGGACAATGCCATTTAGTGCACTATCTGGAAAATTATTGTTACCAGTACCAACAGCCTTTAATTGATAATCTAAGCAAAGAAAGGCAAATATATGCTCACTAGTGATTTACATCTTTTTTTCTAACATGTTAATATGTTGAATGTGCAAAAGATTTGCAATTTAGCACTTTTTTTTAATTGAAACTTCATACACTCAAATAAAAAATGCTTTGTCTTATACATTTTCTTAAATGTTTGTCGCTTGATCTCGAGGTAGGGAATCTGCCATTTTTTTAACCTCTCATGTGATCTGATAGTATCTTTATCATTTTATATATCTAAATACAACATACGTACATTATATAAAACCCCAATAAAACCAAATCTCCAGCAAAATTTGTGACAATTTAATGGAAAAACAAACGTTTTTAATTTAATGGCTTTAAGCTATCGTCATCGGGATAAGAGCAGCGTCGAAAAATAAAACAAAATTTAAACGTCGAGTTTTAAATATCGAGACGGCACCACCAGACCGGACGTTATCTCCACCTTACCACGCTAGCACCCAATCACACCGCACCTCCTCAATATTTATAAACCGATGCTCAAATTTTGCCCCATTTTCAAACACTACTCTTAGGGTGAGATTACACAGACACAAATTTAGTAGCGAGCGATAGAGTTCTCGCAAACAAAGACCACGCGCAAGCGAGAAGCGAGAAATATCACCGCCGAGAGTGAATTTTCGATTCTCGCAAATATCCGACAAGGTTTGATATTTATCGCATCTCGCCTCTTCTTGCCACATATTCTCACTCGCGTCTGCATAATCGCACCTTTATCACAATCACGGTAGCTCAAACCCATCGAAAAGGTTTGTTTGTTTGTGTGTTTTCATTAAGTAATTACGAATTTTGCGTAAATTTGGTTTTATTGAAGTTTTTATACGATTATCCAGTTTTTGTATTGGAGTAAAACATGTATTTACTGTTTTGAGGTTGTACGCTAAATGTATTCATTTACGAAAGCGTTGCCGCTTTGAGTAAATCCCTCTGAAAGGAGACGTAAATTTCCGATTAATAAACGTTCTCAACATCTATTTATTACGAGAGAAACGTCGTCAAAACTAAAATTCTATCAAGATTCAATTTATAAACATGTAAATTGTGAATTACATCGAAATGTCATTGCAAATTTAATACAATTTATGTGATAAGTGCTATAATAAACTCGATATGACAAGAGCCGGAGACATTCTATGTTATTTAATCAATTATTAACGAAATTAAATATTACTTACACTACGGAGCGAAAAAACACTCATGTCTCGTCTGTTTCGATGTCTGTTACAGTGTTGCCATCAAATTAAAAGGTGACATTTTTCAATTAGAAAATTTATCAACTAGAATAAAGTGACTATGTTCGATAAAATATATTTTTTAAAATATAAGACAGGATATATTAGTGAGCATCTGATAAAAATTATAGATTTAATATTATATATGAGACAACGCTCTCATTGCTTTACGTTGCGCCGCCATGGATTCGGGGAAAATTCAATATGGCGGTGTAATGAGGACACTCGGAAAATGTTTATTATCTGAATTAATTTCTATGGGAGTTATTTCGATTAGCGAAATAGTCCAGGTAATTGTACGAGTACGGGAACACTTTACCGCAAACAAAGGTTTAATTATAATTTAATTCAGCAAAATTTTTAATCATTTTGAATTTTGGCCAGAATGTCGGAGCGCCGTGTAAAGATTACGGTGATTAATGCTCGAACCACGTGTACTGTATTTTCTGAGAATTCAAAGTTATATGAACAAAATTTATTGCCGAAAGATTGGCATTAGGCTGTAAAATGAACGGTTTTATAAATTATAAGATAATGAAAAACAATGTCTACTCATACAGCCACTGTCATCGAAACGATTTGATGCGAATACAGTCAGATTTCAAAAAACTCTTGTATTGAATATGCAAAATACACTTTACTCACTGTTCTAGCTGACTCGTAACGAAGATGTTTAAGGAAAAAGACCTCCGAAACTGCGGGAATAAATAAATTATTCCGAAAATTGCTTTTAATTGAAATGCAATGTCCGAGCGCTAAAGCTACGCGACGCTACGCTCTGCGTCCGTCGCACTTGGCCGAGGTCTTCGGGGGTCATCCGGCCACAGACCTTGCTGCGAAAGATGTAGAAAATGACGGCTCGTCCGAGTTGACATTTTCTAATGGACGCCACTGCCTCGCCGAAGTCGGAACGGGGAGGAATCGGAGGAGAGAGCCGCCCGAATCTCGGGACCGCGGTGTCTGTGGTTTTGTTGCTGCGGACGGCTGCGGGTCCCTCGGCCTAGGCGGTGATCCTCTTCGATTTTCCCCTTCTTCGAAGACCCGGATGCGACATTCTTACCGGATTCGACACTTTTCACCCGGACTCGACATCTTTTCCCGGACGTGATCTCTCTTACTCGGTCGTGACCCAAGGACATGCCTCCCGAACGTGACAATCTGTCGACGACAACGGATTTGACTCCCGATTGTGACCACCCGGACGCGACGTTCAGCCGACTTTTCTTCCCAAGCAGCTGTTATGAGGATTGAGCTTCCGGTTAGACTAGGCTAGGTCAGGTCCTTCGCTCTTCTCGTAATACTGTTCGGAAAGAAAGACTGTCTGATAAAGGTAATAATGTTGAACTTAGGTAATAAATGAATTTCTCGCTTTCTCACCGTTTTTGTGTTTTTTGTAGGAACATTTGGGAGGGAGAAAGATTTCCCTTTCAACTTTACCACGTAGAGGACGAATTGGCCATTTATAATAGAAACGAATATTTCCCGAAATCGCCGAAAAAAGAACTCTTTCGTTTTTTTTTCCTCTACACATCTTATTCTCGTATCGTAATTTACTGATTTTCTGTTTTTAGACACGCCGAAAGATGTTCTTCGATCACACACCACACACGGACACAACATCACTGTACACGAAGACATACACCGTTTAATCTTTACTCGAATTCTCGCTCAGGCATTACACGTCAAGCGCCTCGTTCTGTATAATTCGACGCAACGAAACAACCCGAACACTAGCTTCCCACAAATCCGACCCTTGGATCCTTGTCCCGGAAAGTAGAAACGCCAATTTTAAAGATTAAAATGCTTTAAATTGGCATGGATTAAGTGGAATTTCACACGTGTGATTTATGTGCAAGTGTACGTACACTAGACACTCGCACATAAATCGATTTTAGTCGGTCTGCAATGTACCATATCTCTTACATAATATATTATTTCGGTGAGAAACCGATATTCGATGTACCGTACATCGAATATCGGTTTCTCACCGAATATTCGATGTACGGTAGCACGATTATTATTAGCCAATTATTTGTAGCACGATTGGCAGGCTGCCGGATTTTAACAAATCTAACCAAACTCGAGCCAAAGTTTATACATATAACACATAGGAAAGGTGGATGGAAGGCCGAGAAAGTCTGGATTAGAACGAGTCGGTGACGGCACTTTGGCGGTCGATAGTGTACTAAAAAAAATATAATTTTTTATATTGTAAATATAATAATCGACAGACTCCTGCCGGTCATTATCTAACAGTTAGACCAGACTTTCTTTTGAACTTTTTGAATTATGTGTAGTTAATCGAGACATCCGCCCCTAAGCTTTCCATATTTGGTCTCGATTTTCGTGTTCTCGAGATTAAGGAAGGACAGACAAACGGACGGACGACAGTGGGAATTTATAGATCTACAATTTTTTTCAAAACGCATCCCAATTGAAATAGAGATGCGCACCAACGTTATTAATTTAAATATTTATATTTAAATTAATTTTTATATACACATACGTATGTATTACTGTATTTATATACTAAATACGAAAAATTTCATTAAATTAATTCCATTTTAAATTTTAAAAAAATGTAAGGTCTGAGCCGTATATTGTTCAGCTTACTTGTAAAACCCCTGATATCATACTAAATAAATTCACATTAAGTATGAATATGGGTTCTTTTCTTTCTGGACTTTGCTCCGATGACACTAAGATGGCCTCGTTTTTAGGTCTATATTCGTCTAGGCCAGTGTTTCTCAACCTCTAACGAATCGTCGCCCCCTTCGCTTCAAAATTCCGATGTCCAGGACCGAGGCTAACGCCAAATTCGTACCGCATCGAATAGACTATTGACTAATATAATGTTATTTGTTTAATTATTGTACGATATAACGAATAAAATATCTAATTATTCTTAATATAATGTTTTACTATATCGCCCAGAAAATTGTTTTTTGCCCCCAAAATATAAATTGTTACTAATCGCCCCCTCAACGTTCTTCAAAAAAAAAAGGCTTCATAAAAATATAGGCAATAAAGTTTAGTATTAAAATTAAAACATAAATTCTTCTCATAATTTAAATACGCTTTATTCGTAATTTGACATTTACATATTTTGATTCCTTAAAATAAGCAAAATCTCTTACGTTTGAAGTGACAATATTGAAACTTTATCTAATAGATTAATTATTACGAAAGCAATCTACTGTACGAAATAATAAATTATCGACCGATTAAATTATAAAATTGAAATTTTATATCGCTAGTTTCAGTTCCATTTCACTTAAAACTCAGGTATTTGTGAAAACAGCCGAATGCCTGTGGACCAGAAGATTTACAATAATTTAAATCATCGTTATACATTTTAAATTTCATTTTAAAACTTAAATACAATACAAAATATTCAAAATCTGAATACTCACAACGACCAGAGCGACGTTAAACATCGTATCGACCTAAAGGAACAATTTTAAATGCATAATTAAATGTATAAATATTCCATAAAGCACTCATTAAACTATTTAATAGTTATTTTAATTCTTCTCTAAATATTTTAAATATTTTAGACAATGCGATACACTTACCCCCGGGAGACCGGATGCTCCGGACGAACCGCATTCTAAAATAAGTAAAGTAATTGGTTAACGATACCTGTATTTCGGTCGGGTAGTCTAAGTCTAAGGTTGTGAAATACGTACGTCTGGCTTGGGCGAAAGCTGCGTATAAGGAAACGAAGAAAAGGAAGAGTACCAACTTAGCCATCGTGGTTCGACGATAGAACGGATATTTTCAAGCATCCGTCAAACTTCTGCTTTATATATATGTATTTTAGTAACTTAAAACATCCGTGAAACTAAACGCAATAATTTAAACCCGATCAAAACATTATGTCGGTTTTACATTTAATTTTTAAATACACACTCGGATAATTTGAATCGATTTAGGTTCTATATTTTTCAAATATTTTCCAATTTATAAATGTAAATATTGATATTATTTAGTATTACGAAATGTTTTGGTTTCTTATTCCTAATTAGTATTTAAGATCGAAATTTGAGTAAATAGTTGCGGATATTTGTTAAATTTTATAATACGTTATGTAAGGACAGTGTTTTCGATACGTAACTTAATAATTTGTTAACGTATTATTTTTTTCGAACGCGATGCGATACAGTACAGTATTTAGTAGTAAAATAGAGTAACATCCCACTGCCTACCATCCTTATAGGGCTATAAATGCTAAAACTCTTAATGAGGAACTAGTGTTATACCTGCAATATTAGAAACTTTGTGGTATAAAAAGAGGAAACGTAAACTTTTAGTTGCGTATCAGTAAAGGTTTCGTTTTGTGTCAATTATTAAAAGAGACTAATATATAACCTAGAAGTTGACCGTCTTTGTTCCAGTTATGGCACGCATCACCTGGGCGATCTGCCTAGGGGAGTTCTTTTTAACGAAACCAGATTTGGGATTGTCCCAGAATTTAAAAACTTTTGCCAAATTCCGGGCGAATCCGGGAGACTCGGGTAGCTCTAGCTGATCTCTTTATAATTTTTTTTTTATTAAAATGAATGTCTGCGGGCAAGAAGATAAACGGGATGAAAAATAAGAAACGTCCAATGACATTCGAGAAGGCAAAGTTTGAATAAATACAGTTGTTGACTTCGGGATAAATGAAATGCAAAACGAGGAAAACCGAGGCTTTTATTATTTTAAATGCAATTTCACGCGAATAAAAAAGTAAAAAACACTAATTTACTGTTTTATTATTTTGTATACGCGGTTTATTTATTTCGAGTAAAAAATATCAACGGAGATTAGGCAAGCGTATCGGATGTTGAACTGATAAAAATGCCATAGAAGAATATTTGCAGGACATACGTATGATAGCGGTGTAAATGATATAAATGATGTTGAAAAATAAGGAAAATATTAACATTTTTATGATCTGTTGATTGATGGCAACATTGAACGTGGATAGATTGTGTGAAGTTGTAATACAGTCGACCCCCCTATAACACTGTTGATTTTTCCATTTTATATGAGTTCCATGTTGTACGAGCCACTTAGATTTTACAAATAAGTGAGCCGTTCACAGCCCGGCACACGTATTTGTAAAATCTAAGTGACTCGTACAACATGGAATTCATATAAAATGGAATTATCAACAGTGTTATAGGGGGGTCGACTTGTATGTTCCTTTTGTGTTTAAATAAAAGTTTTTGTTAACTAGAAATTGTGTGTTAGAGGTTCTGACGTCAAGTTCCAACAAGTGATAATAATATACATATCGTTTTGCTTAAAATACGGCAACGCGATACGCCAGCAATTTATCATTGCCCATTGCTGCGGAGAGGGAGGAGATGAGGATTTTTCCCGCAGTCCCTATAAACCTTTGGGCCTATTCTGGTTTCACTTTTTCGACTTCGTCACGCTTCAAAACGATACTACGTGAGCTTTTACTATAAAGGTTGCTCGTGCGCCCTACGCTATGAATGTAAAAGTCTTTTATTATGTAAAATAAATAAATTTTATAAATCTTCAACTAATTTTTAACTAAAATGAAAACCATCGTAATACACTTACTAATCTGGTCATTCCTCGCGCATAGAAGTACCAGATTAGCGAGGATGCCGGATTATTGAGCCGGAAATCTATACACGTATATCTAGCGGAGACACCGAATGACGTGACCTTTCGTCCTCAGATACTGACTCCTGTTGGAGGCGAGTACACGTGTAATACAGCCCTCCGAATACTGTAAATATAGAGCTCTAACGATACTGTACACGAAAATGAAACTCGAATAAACGAGAGAATAGAATGTGAGACGCGACTAAAATTTTCATAAAAACAGATGATCATACTAGAAGAGAACCGGATTATATTCAAATGATCAAATGTTATCCGATTAAGAATATATTATTTAAAAAAAACAATCGTGGAAGATGATAAACCTTTTATAATGTCGTAAGCGTTAAAATTTTATATCACTTTTTATTGCATAATTTATTGTTTAACTGCAATTCTTACTTACGTGTTGGCATCGACGTTGGTAATCTATGCAACAATATGAAGAAGTAAAGTGTGTAGTGTCGGATCGAAACAACCCATCTCTATTACCACATTGTTGAAGTGACGTCATTTCACGTTTCACTTCCGCTGTTCCCTTTCCACATACAAAGGTATAACGTCTTCTATTTGTCGATTTCATTCCGGAAATACTCTAGGCAGCTCCGCATCTAAGCGGTTCCACTTCCAGAAGTGGAACTGGATTTCCCACCTACCCATCACTAGTATCTGTTATGTGATTTTGTTCAAAAAATAATTAATATTTATTATAGGTAAAAGCCCTATTTTTCGGATAGGAGTAAGTTTTTTAAAATTGTAAATGCCAATAAAGGGTAAAATTTTCACTAAATTTGATTCTATTCTGCGCCAGATTTGACCTATCCCCCTCGACTTAGAATCTGCAAAGTGTAACGGCATCAATTCCCCGTATGTAGAAGTATTACCAGAGTCAAAGGATTATCTGGTCTCCGAACGCCTATTGTTCTAGCTTTTAAAAGTAGAGGGTAATAAACAAGTTTTGCCGATCGGTGCGCCGCAATCGTTTGGGCTCTTCGTTTGTTTATATCTTACGCGACAAGTATCGCATCCACGTAAAATATACGTTATAATATCAGTAATTGCGCGAGCGACTGTATTTTATAGAGACTAGTAGCCCGGGATACCCCTTAGTGGGCGTTCTTTACAAATTTCCATCAGGCACGGTTCCTTTGACTTTTTTCCAAGGCTGTGGAGTCGACTCCGACCAAGGGCGGACTCGTTACCGAAAGAGACCCGGAAATTCTGACGTCATCGCGTGACCTCAGAATAAAAGATTCGATAAATACAGTTCTAATAAAGATAGAACGTAGAAACTTTTTATTCCGAAGCTAAAAGACTCATCTAAGTAATATATAAATATGTATTCGATAATTTTTACTTTTCAAAAAATGACCCCTCCCAAATTTTTACATTTTTGGACTCGGGACACCTGGAAATTTCGAGATACGCAAAAGATTCGAGGTTTTTTTCCTATACGCGTGGATGTTTGACTGTGTGGGGGGGCACGATTTTGTTTACCCCGTTTGACGGTGGCGTAGCTTGGGTGTCGGCCGTCCGGGGCGGAGAAAAATTTCGCCGCCCCCTTATTTAGGTATCTGAATTTAAAAGACTAAAAGTCAGTTTCGTCACAGAATACGTAATGAAAAATTCCGCGCTCGTTTCAATCGGTCCGACAAAAGTACGAAATGAAATGGTTCAAATTTTTACAAGATATTTATTATTATTTATTTTTTTTAATTTTGAACGCTAATAACGAGTAAAATATTCATTAAGAGATATGACTTTTTATTAAAGTTTATTAAAAACGCTTATTAGAATACAATTCAGCAACACGCTGTATTGAGAATCTACAAAATTATTCGTTTTCGTACATCCATATTTAAAACTTAGGTGATAACTTTCACCACATATAATAATTCAAAATTCACAAACCCTCCTATAATATTTACATCTGAAGGATTTGTGAAATATACTTTCATACATACTTTTGAACTCGTATCATATGTTACATTTGAATTTAAGATTATAACAAAATGCTTTATGTATTGCCGTTATATTTTAAATTATCGTGACACAGTTTACATATTTTACTACTTTGACAATTATTTATCACTTTTTCATACTAGTGTACAAAGATATACAGTATTTCAGTTACAGACTATTTATTTTGTTGAGAGAATTCTTTCTCTCTTACATTAATTTGAATAAACATACCATATTGCTTAGGAGGGAGTACTTATAAACCTTTATTTATAATTGTTTTAGGTACTATTTTATACAATACGATAAGGGTACTAAAATCAATAGTGAGACATTCAATTTGTTACCAATCGTCCTTGAATATAATTTTGCTTTGCTTAACACGGATAACTTTTTCTGTTCCTCTATAAAAAATTTTTTATCTCATTTGGTGTCATCGTTTTGTAGTCACTAAGAATTTTTAATTCAGCCTCTTGTTTTATTTTACAAACTACTATTGAAGCATTTAGCCTGAGGATTTTTCCCGCAGTCCCTATAAACCTTTGGGCCTATTCTGGTTTCACTTTTTCGACTTCGTCACGCTTCAAAACGATACTACGTGAGCTTTTACTATAAAGGTTGCTCGCGCGCCTTACGTTATGAATGCAAAAGTCTTTCATTATGTAAAATAAATAAATTTTATAAATCTTCAACTAATTTTTAACTAAAATGAAAACCATCGTAATACACTTACTAATCTGGTCATTCCTGGCGCATAGAAGTACCAGATTAGCGAGGATGCCGGATTATTGAGCCGGAAATCTATACACGTATATCTAGCGGAGACACCGAATGACGTGACCTTTCGTCCTCAGATACTGACTCCTGTTGGAGGCGAGTACACGTGTAATACAGCCCTCCGAATACTGTAAATATAGAGCTCTAACGATACTGTACACGAAAATGAAACTCGAATNTATCCCTATTGCCCCTATACCAGGGGCAACTTTAATAAAAATAATTACAACTTTACAAAAAGAGAGAAGTTGCCGATCTTGCCCCTATACCCGGGGCAACTTCGTAAATTTCTCTCTTCTTGTAAAGTTGTAATTATTTTAATTATTTTTATTTCCAAACTGATTTTAACCAGTTCTATAGTAAGAAAACATTCCAATAGACAATATGCAAAGCTTTTATTTCAGTTTACAGCAGTATTTATTACACAAAATTTAAGTAAAGCTTAACATGCCGATCTTGCCCCGGTCTCCCCTAATTATATTGGTTAGGGACCGAAAACTTTTTCTGTTATTTACAGTCGACCCCCGTATAAGATCATTGATTATTCCGTTTTATATGAATTCCATGTTGTACAAGTCACTTAAATTTTACAAATACGTGAGCCGTTCACAGCCCGGTACACGTATTTGTAAAATCAAAGTGACTCGTACAACATGGAATTCATATAAAACGGAATAATCAATGATCTTATACGGGGGTCGACTGTAACTATTTGCCAGATTATTTTTACTCTCCAGATCTTTGCAATCCATGCCCATATGGATCTAGCTATGTCGCACATATAAAAGAGGTACTCTATAGTTTCTGTTTGGCCACATCTAGAACAGTTCGAGTTTCTACTTATCCTATATCTATAGAGGAATTCTTTAGTACAATGTTATTGAGAATACGCCAGGAGGTTTCCAACCATTCGTTTGGGAGGTTGTGTATGTTCTTCCAGGTTAATGGCCAATTAATAGAAGGATCTTCCATATTTTCATTAAGAACTTGTTCATGTATCACATTATAAAACATGCGCGGTCTAGTTTTATTATGATTATTTATTAAGTTATTATACTCTTTAACGATTTTATTCAGTATTTCTCGCCATCTTTTAAACTTTCTATCGTTGTTGATTAAGAATGGTAAACGTTCATCTAACCCAGTGATCTTGTTAGAGATCGGACCTATTATATAACTAATCACATGGTATACAGAATGATTGCCTTGTTTAAATGAGTTTATTATAGTTGCAATTTGTATGGCACTTTCAAGGTGTTTTATATCCCAAATATTCCATCCTCCGTTTTCTTTATTGTTTTTGATTATAGTATTTTCCTGCTCATTGGTTCGTATGTGCTCTGCCATAGATAATTGTAAATAGGACTCTAATTTTTTAATCTTTTTGTTTAAATTTGTTATATAAAGGTTATAAATAATTCTTGCTATAATCGCCTTGTTAATAATTATGGATCGCTCAGGTAGATAGAGCCAGTTTTCTGACCATTGCTCGATGCACTTGTTTAGTTTTGATTCCATTTCAAACGTATTTCTTTCTCTGGCTTCTCTTCCACACCATATTCCAATACTTTAATTGTGTGTACAGTTTGAATTGCCATATGTTCGTTTGAAATGTACTGGAATGAAAATAAATTTCACATTTATTTTCATTCCAGTGAACAAGCTGACATTTTTTAATTTTATTAATACTTTTTCAAGGATATGGCACACGACCCCTTTTATGTCTTCTTTAATTAAGAACCAAAATTTAATAGTATTGATGCCCCTTTATACGCCAGCTATGTTGTCACATTTCGTTTCTTAAACTTTACCCATTCTGAGATATTGTTTAATATCTCAGAACAAAAAATAAAGAAATTAAACAAATTCGACGACAACACACACTTATTAAACATTCTATAAATACTTTAAAATAGTTTAATTTGTTTATTTACCTTCGCTCGTAAACCTCGATTTTAAACGTATCCGCCATGTTTTCGACAAATTTCCCGTGAGTCGATGCGCCACGTTCACCGAGTCGCGGGATGACGTAAACGTGCGGCGCGAGGTTAATCGAGGCATATAATAAGGCGAGGCGAGACGTATAATAATTATTTATACCATTCCGTGGTATAAATAATAAATTCCTATTACAAATAAAAATAATTTATCGTTAATTTAAAATCGTCGCTAGGGCGCCTCTAGTGCCCGTTTTTGGCATACCGTTACGCGGACGGACACGCGTTCGATGTGTTATATACAGTAGATAGAACGATCTTCCTATAAATATTCTTATTTTAATATAAGTTACCTTAAAGTAAATGAATGAATTAATAATTTCGATTTTCTTTGATTTGATAAACATTTTCAAAGCCGAAGTGAAAAATAGCGTTAAAAGAATTTTAGGTTTTATACGGTTTACGTGTGTTTTGCATAAACTTGATAATAAACGGTTTAATACAATCCGTGTTAGGATTAACATCTTCAAAATTATTATTTAAATTTTGTAATATAATTTTTTATTTCACAGAAAGCCTTTGCCAAACGTTAAATATTGACAATTGGAAAATTTAGGATGGAAAATTGGGAATTTAGGTGGAAAATTATCCGGTGTCGGTGCCCATCTATCGCGCGCAAGCTGCACTAATTGGCCATCGATTGCGTGACTGAATGATTTTATTAAGAATTGATCCTTAAAATGTTTGTCACACATACGAGCCTTTG